CTCCTCCTCTTCCCCTGCCCCCCCTCCTCCAGGGAGAAGGCTAGCTCAGCTCAGGTCCACCACCTCCTCCCTGCACCCCAGCCACAGCACTTTGATTTATGCAGCATGAACTGCTGGTGGAAGGGGTGGGTGGTGTGCAAAAGCGGGCTACGCTGCCTCAGGGAAGGGTAGTCTGGAAAAGTAGTGCCAGTAAACCACACGGTAATTCATACAACATAGTCTGTTTTAAACATTACCCATAATGCATTAATGGTATAATTATAGTTTAACTATTTAACATTTCACATCCCTAGTTCTGACTTGGTGGTCAGGCTGTCCACAGGGGTTGAACACATGGTACCAGGATCTACTACCTCTTATGCAAAACAGCCACTCCAGTTAGCCTTGAAGCAGCAGCACACTACACCCTTTCTATGGCCCAGCTACTCAAAAGGGATAAAAACCCATAGGTGCTTAAGGTACTGAGGAGACGGAGAGTAGAAATTTGACTGAGCCACAATGGGTGCGGGTGGGATCTGCATAGATGGCGCAGGTTGGAGATGTTAGTTGAGTGGATGCTGGGGTAAAGACTAGAAGATGGAAAAAGCCTTGGCATGTGGAGTGTGGATAGAGATAGGGAGTTTGGGGCCAGGTGTAGAAGAGGTTGGAGTTTGAGCTGGATTCTGTCCTCCTGCAGTGGATTGACTCCCTCTATGCACTGGTGAGAATCAACAGTAACTCCATCTTCTTTTCCTCAGGCCAGGATTTCAAGCCAGTTTCAGTTGGTGTGGGAGCAGGAACCATCATGAGCATCCTGTTGGCTCTGGTCCTCTTTGTAGTCTTCCTGATCATCTGCGGACCCCTCATCTACAAGAAACTAGTGAAGAAATGTAAGTAACAAACTGTCCCTGTGGCTGTGAGATCCAAGAGCCTGTTTACCTTACATCTGAGCCCACCTAACAGCTTCAGCCTGAGTTTCTATTGTGATCTCATTTTATCTTGCCCATTTTCTCCGGTTCTCTCATGCTTTCTTCCTCCTATAATGCCACTCTTTTCCCCTTTCATTTCCTCCTGTCTGCCTCTTTCCCACTCCCTCACTTCTGGGCTGGTCACTTCAAGGGCGGTGGCAGCTGATGCTTTGTTGTTTTGCACAGTGTCTCCTTTGAGGATTCAGGAAATGCACACCCTCTTCTCCTACTGACCCCTTGCAGCAGTTCCTGGCAGCCATGGCTTTGTATTTCAGAAGAAATTGTAGCTGGTCCTTTCTCTTTTCTTCAGTGGCACCACAAGCAATTATTGCTAATCATGTAAGCCCATATGGTGCAGGCAGAATAAGAAAGGAAATCAGAGGGGAAGACCTGTTGGCTTGGGCAATGTCATGCACAGCAGTGTCCTGCTGCTGAGAGGATTAACCAGTGAAAAGATGCAAAGAACCAGGCAAGCTCTGTTCTGCAAACTATCTCCAGCACCTGATGCATCTAATCAGGAGGCAACAGAGGGCTTGGTTGGTGTGGCACATGTGCCTGTGCGTTAGGAACATTGGGCACATAACAGAACAAAGGGAAATTGAGGTTGAAGACTCCTTGACAGAGAGAGATCTGTCAGGCCATGAAAAGGTCTCCCAAGGGAATTTTGCTGGTTTCAGTCATTTGAAATCAAATGAACAAAGCACTAGAAGAAAATACATAGTAGGGTCACTCCTGGGACACAATGACCTGCCGGGCCTTCCCTGCAACCCCACAGTGTCCTTCCATGGCGTGTTTACAACATGATAGACAGGCCCGTGTCCATTTAACTCCAGTGTTTCTCTCTACCTTTCTCCTTGCAGTCTCCAAGAAACAGCAGCGCCAATGGATTGGACCAACTGGATTAAACCAAAATGGTAAGCAGCAAGCACAGGCCTGAGGCAAGGGGAAGCCGGTCATTTCCATCCCCCCCTCGCCCTCTCCAGCTTCCTCTGAAGACAGTAGCTGTGGTGCTGCGGTCAGTTTGATCTCAAGTGCATGGGACCTTATGGCTCCTGCTCTCTGTCACAGAATGGCTAGTTGCAGCCTGATGGTTATAGGAAGTGGTTTACAACCTGTTACCACTTCAGAGGCTGAGGTTTCCCTTCAGCCCTACCATCACATCACCTTCATTCAGGTGGTGTCACTGACTACAAGGTGAAAAAGCAGCCCAGGCACAAGATGCATTTGAGGCTGAGAGTAAGCCTGAGGCCTCAAGAATGACAGCTCTGGGCCAAAAGATGTTTTTGAAGTCACCCTTCAAAAGGCTGCTGGGCTCCCAGAGCACTTTAATGACTGGACAACCAAAAGCCATTCACCAGCCCCTGAAACAGCCACCTCTGGAATGGAAAGCAGGAGCATGACACAACAGGTTGTAAGAGGGGCTGGGAAAGAAGATCTCTCTGCTTGTAACTGCAGGGAGTCTGGGCAGGAAGAAAGCTGTTCCCCAAATAAAATGGTGTGGGAATTTTAAGGGCTCCATATGATGTTTTATAATGCATCCAAAAGATGGCAATTCCAGCCTAACAAACACCCCTCATGCTTTCATCCAGAGTGGGGTATGCCCCCTACTGATCATTTCCTATTTGGCTATATTACTTCCATGCTGGGGTGTGGGATGTGTACTGAGTCACCACTATCACTTCCTGCGGTGCCGTAACCCACCCAGGACCATGCTGAGTCACTCACTCACTATTGACTCAGATAGGAAAGTTGAGTTGCAAGTACTATTTTCGGTGGTACAGAGCAGCCTGCTACCATGGTATGGGCTGGGTGCAATTCTTACTAACCCCACTGTTGACTCACAAAGGCTGGCCTGTTTGTATATAGGTAGTGGTAGAGGTGGCTGACATAAGGGTGAGGAGTTTATTTCCATGCTTTGGGGTGGTTGAAAGTGTGTGGTAGTGATCCGGTTGTGGTAGAGTGATTAACGATTCTCCATTGTGCTGCCATCTAGTGTCGTTCCATCGCAATAGCACTGTCACCCTCCGGCCGAGGTCTGAAGGTCAAAGAGCTCTGGGGGAAGAAAATGACTATTCTCATACTCCCAAGAAAAACTCCTACCTTTCAGCCTATCCAGGTAAGCAACTAACTGGGCTTGGCCCAGCCAAGGAAACACAACCACAGTGAATGGTGGAGAAATGGACCCCAGTGGGTGAAGTGGCTGTCCACTGAAGGAAGGTGGTCACACCTGCTTTGCAACAATAGACTAGATAACTCAGACAGCAGAGTAGGAATCAGTCTATAGAGCAATTCTTTATCCAGGTGTTCTGTTTCCACTGACTTGTTGTGCAGCCTCAGGCAGGTCAGTTAACTTCCCTGGGCATCCATCCGTTTCTTCCATCTGTAAAGGTGGAATAACTAAAGTTATAAGATTGGAGAAAAACACCTCATCACAAGACGTAGCTATTACCTACTATGATTTTGTATGACCGGATGTGCTGGGGTTGGGAAGCCCTGGTATACAGTCCTATATGCTGGGTACTCTGTCCCTCTGCAACACAGCATTTTGTGCAGAAAAAAGTGACTGGTTCTTTCTTCTGTAGCTCTGGAAGGAGCAATCCGATCTTCCAACCCTCCAGACAACTCCTCTGACAGTGACTATGACTTGCACTCAGCTCGGAGAGTATAGCCCCCTTCTGAGAGGTAAGCTGTTCCCTTGCCCACATGCTGTATCCCGAGATAGGGGCAATCCCTGATCCTGTTACTGTGTAATCTAAGGGTGAGAAGTGAAACACATCACAGAGGCTTAGCCAATTGCTGTATTCACCTTTTTCTGACTTTCTTGAGCTCTGGCAAAATATCGAGTGATTTTCTGTCATTCATTTTCTTGCCCTGTAGACAGAGGCAGGATCCAGCATATGGAAAAACTGAGAGAAAAGAAGAACAATACCTGAAATAATTCTGCACTCATCACCTTGGAAATATTTCCATGTTACTACATGCAAATATAATGGCTTTTGCTACACTCACAGAGGCAAAAGATGAGGGAATCTATATGGACCCCAGTGTCACCCCCATTTTTCTAGATGGGGCAAGGAGAATCAAGATACCTACTACTTCCCAGGTAGCCTTTAGCAAGTCACTTAGACCCAGCATTCCAATAGTGACCTCAGATTTGCATGTCTCTGTTTCTGGGTGCCCTAGGTGAAGACCCCGGCAGCCTGGCTTTGAACTACATTGCTTATTCACAGTGCCAGCTGAAGCATATGTGTACGGTAGTTGATGAGCAGTTCTGAAAATCAGGTCTGTGCGGCTCCTGCTAGACATTCAGAATGTGAGGCATTCAGGAACAATGGATACCTTTTTAAAAATGGGTCATACAGTTCTTTTAAGATTTTACTACCCCACCATTATCATGGTATCTGAACACCTTCCTGTGACAAATTCATCTAGCATCCATCACTTAAAGTTTCATTTCCTTTTTCCTTACTGGCATACACATGTATGTATTTTAAACGGATGTGCTTAAAGGCAAGTAGGTAGATAGAGGAGCTGGGTATTCCACTTGAGTTGGAAAGCAATACTGTCCCCTGCAAAAATGATTTGCTTAGACTCTGTGTTTCCCCATCCCTAAAATAAGGATAATACATCCATTGCCCTGGAGTTTTGAGGCTAAATGTGTTAAAGTCTGTGAGGTACAGATACCAGGATGATGAGCATCATGGAAAAAAATTATAAACTGTCTACTGGGTTACTTAGGAAGCTGCAATGATGAATGTTGGCTGTGTTTGTCACTCTGTAGATGTCTGGTTGGTTGAAGAAGCCCAGGAGTGTGGTTATCCTGTGGTAACGTGCATGAATGGAGCTTGAGTGAACATGTGTGGGGGTGAGGAGACAGGTTTGTAAAGACGCAAGTAAGACTGAGATATAGCAGCTATACGTTGAGTGGCAAGGAGATAATAATGTTCAACACAAATGTGACTGAGATATTTAATAAGCAATAATAACAGCTGTAATAAAATATTTTCCTAGTAGTTGTTTCCTTTTTTCCACTCATAAGTACAGTGCCTAAGTGCAGAACAGGATTGACACAGCTCTATGAAAAATGGAGAAAGTGTAGCTTTCTGGTAAAGCATGACACTGAGATTCAGGATATCTGGCTTCAAGTTCATGACTCTCTTCTGATTTATGGAATCACAGTCTCGTTATACCTTGGTTTCCCCATCTCTAAAATGAAGATAACAATACTTCTCTTGTCTATATATGCAGTGTTTCTTGCTTTGCCCATCTCCAGTGTTGATGGAGGCATTTAGACCACACTGCAAAGTAGCTTACTCATAACACGGTTCTGAAGTGACTATAAAAAGGGTATTGTTGAATGCCATGCTTATTTCTCTTATTTCATATCTTTCCTAGAGATATCATTTTTTACAAATTCAGTTCTCAGGGCAAAACATGTTTTAATATTACTAATCTAAAAGAGATTGTTACTCAATTTGGATACCACTGTGATGAGTACAACACAAGGTCCCAGAAGGATAAAATATGTTATTTGCTTAAGAGCCTCTCTTGAGTTCCTGTTGCAACACACTTCAATGCCTGCACCAAAGTGTGGTGCTACTGAAGATACACTGATACCCTGCAGAATTTTTTCTTCAACGTAAAAACTAACTCTTTTTTTTTTTTTAGAGATGCTTCTGCTTCTTTCATCCCTCTGATTAAATGAACCATTGTGTGAAAAAACACAGTTAATGCAAGCATACTTTTTAAAGTCATAATCCCTACCTGGTAACACCAGTAAATGTCTATAATGACCATACCACAAGCAGGATTATGATATCATATGCAGAATGAATGGCAATAACCAGATATTCTCTTCTCACAATGATGAAATAAAGACCCCCCCCTTGTTAAATAGAAATTGTTTGACACAAGATACAAGTCCGTGCTATATTTGACGCTTCTTTCCAGAAGTTAAAGAAGCAGTGAGCAATGGGGAAATATATGGAGAACTTTTTCTGTCTGGAAATTGTCATAAGCAAAACTTTTCAATACCAAAATCAGATTATATCCTGCAGCATAGCAGCAATAGAGGAGAACAGCTTGTGCTACAGATGGAACAGACCAAACACCACAGACCAAACACCACAGAGGTGATGGGAGCCAATTTTTTGTGTATAAGGCAACATTTCCACAATAGCAAGTGATTTATGCACTCCTTCAAGCTGAAGAAGAGACTCAGTACAGGGCAGGTTTGAGATTCTCAAAACAGGAATTGAGATTTAGAGGATAAAACTAATTTAACAGAGAAGGGAATACTATTATCATCAGAACAAGTCACTTACAAAAAGACAAGCAGTGAGGAGACTGTAAGGAAGGAAAAATGAAGGAAAGAAATTACAGCACAGTGAAGGGGAAGATAACTGTGATGATACTGAAGGATGGGGAAGAGGATTGAACAAATGGGCCCCTTGGGCAGGATGCAAACCGAAGGGTAGGAAGGATGATAAAGAGAACACGGTTGTGTGAGATGGGTTATGTGAGAGGTTTTATTGACATGGTCAAGGGGAAAGTAAATGTAAAGATGCTGAGTTGACAAAAACATGATCAATAAAAATATCAACCATACGCCATTTCATTTCCCAAAACAATCACAGCCATGACCCCACATGCAATTCATCAAGTTTTATTACCATAATTAATCACAAGTATGGAACTGTGTCCATCAAATTCCAAGAGCATTCAACCTGGACTAGTCCATTAGTGATCTATCTTTATAAATAACTTACAGGCACCCAAGCAGAATGTGGTAGATAAAGTGCTGAGCAAAGAAAAACCCATTTACATTAAGAATCTTTCAGTTTCTCTGTTGGTGCCCAGTGTTTCCTCAGGTCAATATTGAAGGGAAGGGGGTGTGAGGAATACTGGATTCTTCTTTATCCAGTCTATGCTCCCCTTCCTGCAGTTCACTACCAATGAAAAAAAGGGATAATATAGGAAACCTTGTGTATCTTGGTGTTTTACTGAATCCTATCAAAGGCTGATTGGAAAAAATGGATGACAGTATTGTGTTCTAATATTTCCCAACAAAAAAGGAGTAATCACCCAGTTTTCCATAGGTGAAGGAACATGCTGCCTCATCTCCAAATTAACAGCTGCTCCAGAGGTATCATGCCATCCTGGTTTATCTCCAAGGCAGAAACAGTATTCAACATGTTATGTTTCCAGAGATATTTCAGGGCCCTCCTGTTCTGTATGCAATAATCCACATCCCACAGTGGTGTGCTAAGAATGCCTCATACACTATGCAAAAGAAGCCAGTACTAGAGAGGCCTTCCCCTATTAATAAGCCAAGCACAGCTGAATCAGATGAGCATGGTAAGCTCTGGAGATCCCTTTGTTTTACACAAACCTGGCAACATCCAATACAGTAAGACAGATGGAGACAATAAAAAGGAAAACTTAGTCCTGCAGTGGGTTGGGAGTAGCTTGAGTGGAATCAGATTTGGAGTTATGTTACAATGGCATAAAAATCCTGGGTCACATTAAGGCCTGACCTGCCACAACAGGCTAGCTAATGGCTTCTCATTGACAAAGATAAATTACGTATCAGTTTATGAGCCTGGATGGCACTGCTGTTCTATTTTACAGGAAAGGGCCCTGGGAACAAATGAGGGTTTCATGTCAGAAATACTGTCAGAGGTTCTCACTCTGTATCTCACACACCTGTGTAAAACTTTAGAATTCCTCTGCTACATATTTCTATATATAATTATACACACAGGTATAAAAAGTTCTCTCACACATACACACACAAGCATAAAGTATGCAGGGTCAGGTCCTCAGCTGGTACAAATCAGTGCATGTTTTACTCACTTAAACCATCTGAGAATCTGGCCCACTGTGTATTTTATAACATGGCTTGGATTGACTCATCAATATATGGCCATTAAAGACAGCGAGCATTCATCACATGCTGGTTTTCATTTCATTAGCCAAAACCTAAAAAAGTGCAGCCTGTGGATGAAGTTATGGTGTCTCTGCCTTATACCTCATGCCTAATGCAGGGATTACATCAGAAATACACCTTCCTCTGCATATAAAACTCACACATACAGGTGTAAGGGTGACATTCACAGATCTTTCTTCTTGGGCCTGTTTCTCAGCGAGGACCAATTTCTTTGTCTGTGACACAGAAGAGGATGACAAAGCCAACTCTCCTCAAGTCCTGATTAGTATCCACGCCAAGCAGGATGTTGAGGGTGTGAAGGTGGTGGGTACCCAAAGGAAGGGTTTGGACCTGCAGGATATGGGGGCTGGGTGGAAATTGGAAAAGCAGGTAATGGTGGCTGGTTTGGGTATGGGCAATGTGGCCTCCCTCCTCCTGATGGAAAATATGGAGACTGCGACTGGGGGTACCCTGATCCAGCCTGAGGTTGATGGAATACTGGAGTAGGGGGTGGACCTCTGGATGGAGACCAAGAATATCCTGGAACTGAAGAGGAGTCTCCTGTCTGAGGCCTGGAATATACTGGTGCTGAGTCTCCAGGCTGAGGTGGTGGGTATCCAGAAACTGGAGGTGCTTTATAGGGAAATGTAGGCTGGGCGCTTGGCTGAGAGGAGCTGACAAGTCCCACTGAAACTGGTGCCTTAGGGAAAGGAGCAGGAGGGAGAGCTCCATGAGCTGTTGGGCCTATAGGCATGCATGGGGTTGGACTATAAGGTAAAGGGAAGGATGGTGCTCCTGATGGGAAGGGTAGTGGCTGCTGCTGGTTTTCGGGCACAGAAGTTACACAAGGAGGCTGCTGCTGGTTGAACTGAGAGTCTCTGGATGGTGGCTGTGAAGTTTCTGACTTCTTCAATATCTCCTGAAGTTTTTCCACTCTGACACGGCGCATGTGTGATAACTTCCTCATGGAGGAAAACTGCTCAAGAAATGTCTCCAGTGGCACTTCACCCGCCAGGAACTTCTCAGCCACAGACTGGAACACAAGACACTCTTGAAACCTGTGCTGCCTTTTCCAATCTTCTCCCCCAACCCAAATTTAGACCCCATGTCCTCAGCCATGGCTTAGATCACATAGGAAACTATTAAACTAGACAACAACAAATGAAGTACAATCCCACTCGTTTGGACAATGGTGTCAATCTATGGGGAAGCTCCCTAGCTTAGGGGTCAGGGGTAGGAGGGTGATTTCAAGATTCCAAGGGACTGCCACACGTCAACTATATTTAATTCTTAAGCTCACCTCAGACTCCTCTTCGATTTTCTGGCTCTCTACCTGGAGAAGATCTAATAAAATCTGAGGCTGCATTGTTGCCGAGAATTTATCTGGGAAGAAATGGAAGCAACGGTCACAAAGTGACCTACAGAACTAGGCAAGATCACTACATGTCTTCACTTCCTTCAAAAACGGTACCTGTCATCTGTCCCCAGGCTCTGGACTTAACTCAAGACACATGAAAGATAGAGAAGTAGAAACTACGTTACCTTCCCACGTGATTCTGTTCAATCCCTTCCCTTCCTGGCGGGAATCTTCCCTAACTCAGAACATATAACCTGGAAACCCATGGGGAGACCCTAACTATCACTGTGTTCCACCCTTTTGACAAAGCACCACCTCTGGTTCTGCCAGGACACAAACAAGAAGGAGGAGAACACAGATGAAAATACACCCTCCCACTGCCCACTTATTTTTCCCAGAGAGTGCCTCAATCTGATCAGTACACCCAGCCCTGGGGAGAAGCAAGACGATAGAAAGATGTCTTGATTACAGCCTGTTGGGCCACACAGATGCATGCAAATCTGAAAAAAACCATACCCAGTTGTGCCTTTTTTTCTTGGCACCTTTCAGTCAGCTTCTGCAGTTCTTGGTAGCTGTCGGAAAGGTTTGCACGTCCAGTTTCCAGGGGCTGCTGGAACTCCAGATTCTGCTCTGCCAAGCTCCGGTTTGTGGCAAGGGCCATTTCCCTTTCCAGTTGAAGTTCCTGGACCTGAGAGACGAGACCCAAGCCCATAGCTTATGCATGGTGCTACCTCCCAACTGCATTCACACACATTTCCTGCTCCAACACACATATCAATGTGTACCTCATGCGACTCCAATGCCAGACGCTCTGTCTCCTCTGAATTCTCCTGCAGCACCTGGAGCTCTTCCACAGACCGATCCCTTAGTGATTCCATTCTCTCTGAGGAATGTAACTTCCTAAGGATGGAGACAGGAAGCAGGCAAATATAAGGTTCCCAAAGCTAGCAGCAAAATGACCACAGCAAAGTAATATTGATTGATCCCATATCAGACTTAAAAGACATGGCTTTACTAAACTGCCAGATGGTGAGGGGGATTCAGTCATACTTCAGACAACCAAATACAGATGGAGAGAGGACAAAGTGAAAAGCAAAACGGGTGCGTCTAGCCACTCGTCTTTTGACAACAAACTTCAGAGACAATACATGGAAGGAGATTACTTTTCTATGTCAGGACAAAAGCATTTATAAGCGGGGAAAAACCCCAGGGGCAGATGGCAATTGGGCCTGGAGACTGCTCTCTGACTGGTTCCCCATTACATAATGTTTCATTGGATTGAGTGAGTGCTCCCCCTAAGACTATAGTTTTGTAACTGTTTTACATGTGGTTGACTGGGCTTGAAGCGAATGGCTGGAGACGTTTCCTCTAGCATCTCTAAACCAATAAATAGTGGGTGCCAGGGAAGGTATGGCACAGGGAATAGATTACTTTAGAGATATCCAGTTTAGCACTCTCCCTCTATAGTATCAACTTCTGCTGCTGTCAGACAGGACTATTTGTTATGCTACAGGAAAGCCTGGCTTTATGCCCACAAGGAAACACTATAAGCCCCCCTTAAAAAGGGAGACCTCTGAAGACATAACTAAATATGGGGGACAGATAAAAAGAAAACAGGGAAGGGAATAAGGTCACAGGTTAATAACAAGGGAGCCAAAAGGACACACTGAGCAGAGCACACTGGCCAGCACCCACTGCTCCCTGAACAAGCCAAGGGAGACTGTAGACTCCATCCAGTAAAACTCCACCCAGAGATGTGAGCGAAGGAGTAAAAGGAAGACAGCGCCACACTCACCCAGGTTCCCCCCAGCCAGAAACTCCTTCCTGGTCTGGAAGATGGTCAGCTTGGCAAGAGCCAGGAGGAGGCTGACCAGGAGGTCCCAGGGCTTGATGGGGCCATGGACAGGGAGGGAGTGCATGACAGAAAAGGAGCTGGGAGCAGTGCAGCCAGAACCTCAGTGGGAGGTTCTGGAGCAGGCAGAAAAGGGGCTGCAACCTGGCACCCTTGAGGCAGGTTTCCACCAGGGTCTCCCTCTGTTGGCAGAAGGGCCATATGTCAGAGGTGTCCATAAAGCAGGAGCTGCCAGCTGAGGTTCCTGGTGGCTTGTGGGATCAGGGTGGAGTAAAGACTTGTCCACCATCAACAAGGAGAAATGCAAAGTGCTGCACCTAGGGAGGAAAAATGTCCAGCATACCTACTGCCTAGGAAATGACCTCCTTGGTGGCACGGAAGCAGAAAGGGATCTTGGAGTCCTAGTGGACTCCAAGATGAACATGAGTCGGCAGTGTGACGAAGCCATCAGAAAAGCTAATGGCACTTTATCGTGCATCAGCAGATGCATGAC